CGAGAATTGCAAAGGCTGAGAGCGTTGGAATCGTATGCGGGATGCTGGTTGTTAGGAAAGCTACAGATATCTACTTGTCGTCGTTTTGGGATAAAGGTACCGGGGTAACTTCCCAAAGGGAATTCTGTCAACAGACATTGGCCGAGAAACTACAATAATTGCATTCTGTTACATTTTCACTATGACGTCTCTGTGTAGCTACACACATTGTACAGGGCGTCCCAACCGTGCGAAGAGTATCCTCCTAACAACAAGATGTAAATGAAAATTATTTGTGTGATCTTATAAATGGTATATGGTGGCGCATTTTGAAGATATTTACAATTATACAGGGCATCCCAATTTTGACATATGTACATACCAAAGTTGATCGTGTTTAAACAGGATGATATAGTTTTTATTACATATTCAAATGGGTTTTGATTAATAGCTAAGGAGTACTCTATATCGAAGAAGAAGCATATCTGCCATCCTGATAGGTGGAGTCTGGTCAACAGTGCGATTCTCAGAAACTTATAGAACTGTATCAGGATCGCAGAAACGCCTAGGGGTATCGATGCCATAGATCTGAGTTTTATGCTTATCTCATAGCAGGAGCAGAGTGGCATTTGGATACCTCCTCGCGTTTCTGTAAACCTAATAGCAATTATCCAATCCACCAATCCTACGAAGAAGCTGTGGTCGACAGTGCGATATGCAGAAACATGTGGATCTCTATCAGGATTGCAGAAAAGGCTAGGAGCATAGGTGCCAGAAATAAAAATTTCGCACCAAGATCATAACATAAGCAGAGTACAATTCCCATACCTTCTCACGTTTCTGTGATGCTGATAACGACTCGACGTTCTCCAATTTTATGAGAAAAGTCTGGTCAGCAGAGCGATTTTCAGAAACTTCTAGATATGTATCAGGATCGCAGAAACGCCTAGAGGTATCGATGTCATGGATTTGAGTTTTGTGCTGATCTCATATTAGGAGCAGAGTGACATTTGCATACCTCCTCGCGTTTCTGTAAACCTAATAACCTACCTACCAATTCTACGAAGAAGCTGTGATCGACAGTGCTAAATTCAGAAACATGTAGATCTGTATCAGGATTGCAGAAAAGGCTAGGGGCATAGGCGCCAGGGATAAAAATTTCGCGCCAAGATCATGGCATAAGCAGATTCACATACTTTCTCGCGTTTCTGTGATGCTGATAAAAACTCGACGTTCACCAATTTTATGAGAAAAGTCTGACCGACAGTGCGATTTTCAGAAACCTATAAATCTGTATCAGGATCGCAGAAACGGCAAGAGGTATTGATGCCATGGATTTGAATTGCGTGCTTATCTCATAGCAGGAGCAGAGTGGCATTTGCGTACCTCCTCGCGTTTCTGTAAACCTAATAACAATTATCCAATCTACCAATTCTACGAAGAAGCTGTGGTCGACAGTGCGATACTCAGAAACATGTAGATCTGTATCAGGATTGCAGAAAAGGCTAGGAGCATAGGTGCCATAGATAAAAATTTAGCGCCAAGATCATAGCATAAGCAGATGCACATACTTTCTCGCGTTTCTGTGATGCTGATAACAATTCGACGTTCACTAATTTTACGAGAAAAGTCTGGTCAACAGTGCAATTTTCAGAAACGTATAGATCTGTATCAGGATCGCAGAAACGGCAAGAGGTATTGATGCCATGGATTTGAATTGCGTGCTCATCTCATAGCAGAAGCAGAGTGGCATTTGCATACTTCCTCGCGTTTCTGTAAACCTAATAGCAATTATCCAATCTACCAATTCTACTAAGAAGCTGTGGTCGACAGTGCGATATTCAGAAACATGTAGATCTGTATCAGGATTGCAGAAAAGGCTAGGAGCATAGGTGCCAGAGATAAAAATTTCGCGCCAAGATCATAGTTGACTTTATTCATTTTTTTTAATATTATGTTATTTACAGGGTGGTCAAAAACGACAAACTTACTTTTCCACAAAAAAATTAAATGGATAATTCAACATTTTTGGATTCCACTTCTTACAAGCTTTTTTGTGGTGAACTACTCATCGTTTATCTAAATTTGTCAAACTTCTTATATTATTATTCGCTCCCCGGATTTGACACCCTGCGTTTTTTTCTGCGGGGCCATTTGAAAGAGTTGGTGTATCATGATGGAGCAGTACGTACTCTGGAAGAACTTCAACGGCGCACTGAAAATGCTTGTGATTTAATGCGTGGATACTAGAAGCTTGTAATCAGTCCTGGATTCGCCGAGCAAGATTTTGCATTAATTCAACAAATGGGGATAATTTTGAACAGTTTTTGTAGTAACAGTATCCATTTAACTTGATAATGTTTTTGTTTCAATAAGTTTTAGAAAAGTAAACTAAATGTCTTATTTTACCTTGAAAATAACCTGTATCTGTTTTGTTAAGTTCCGCTGTTGTTAAATTATTGATTTTTCTTCGTTGTTGGTATACAGGGTGGCGCATCAGAAACGAAACAGACGCATTTACTGACAGCTCATTTTTTTTTGGAAAAACGCTCAGACTCGTCGATTTTGTTTTCGAGCTGGACACAAGTTTGGCAAAAAATCACGTTAGCACGTGCAGCCCCCTAAGCGGGGGTGACACCACCCACAAAATATTAAATGGAAAGGGGGGTCGAGTGATACTTTATTTTAAAGGCTTTTAATTCCCTTTATAATGGTATAAAATTAATGTACTTCAGTTCAGTAGTTTTGAGGATTTATTGATTTAAAGCTTAAATAAAAGTGGAGATCAATACATTTGGCAGCAAAGTAATTTCAAAATGAAGCATGAACAGACCCGTTAGGCAAGTAAATGTTGAAAATGGCCACCATGACTCTCCATGCAATAATAAAGATTTTTCTCAAAACGTTGCCGCACATTTTGCAATAGTTGAGGAGTAATTTGAAGGCACTCATTCAAAATTCTTTGTCGCAGGTCTTATAATGATATTTGCTGAGTAGCATAGATTTTGCTTTTTAAATGACCCCACATAAAGAAATCCAAAGGTGATAAATCTGGCGATCTTAGGGGCCATTCAATGGCACCTCTTCTACCAATCCATTGATCTGGAAACGTCTGATCTAAATATTGTCGAACACGTAATGCGTAACGTGGTGGAGCACCATCCTGTTGGAACATCAACCTACTAGCAATGTACCGCCGATCATTCTGATTTTCAATTATGGCTGTTAATGCCGGATCTATGGCGTCTTCCAGTAATTCCAAATACATTTCACCGGTCAAATTCTCCAGGTAAGAAAAAAGAACCAACTAAATGGTCGCCAAAAATACCAGCCCAAACATTTAATTTTTGTGGCTGCTGTGTATGAACCTCATGATAAATTCTGGGATTAGAATCGGACCAATATTAGCAGTTATGGCGATTTACTACGATATTTACTAGGATATTCGTCGGAAAATCAAGTGTTGAATAGAAAATGTTCATCCTTTATAATTCGTTCACTCATATCTTCACAAAATTGTAATCGCCGCACAGTGTGTTCCTTTATAGGGATCAGGGACAAAATTCGATATCTTAAAAACCAGTGGTCCTATTTGAATTCTGTAAACGCAGGGCGATTACTTATTTAAGTAGCTTTCTAAAGTATGACAAAAATTATTTAAAATAATAAGAAGGGGTGGGGGAGCAGGCGGGATGCGTTTCGCATAAATCGTTTCTTTTTGTAAAAGTCAAAATATTAAGTTGATGATCTCGAATAAATTGGGATAAGACAGGATATTATTATAGCATTCTTAAGAGAGACAAAAAAGTCACGCTTTTATTTTTCAAGATCTTTATCGAATGATTTAGAAGACAATGTAGCCAACTTGTGGCGGGCGCAATATGATTTATTAAATTTGTCTATCTATTTGAAAAAATAATAAGAATAATTCAAATAAAAAATAAATCTGTATAATTTGAAATTGATATTTAGGTTTTTATTTAAAAAAATATATTTAACAAAATAACAATTACCTAGTAGGTAATGTATGAAATAATAATATAAACTATATTAAAAAAATAACACCAAATATACTCATTCTAATCGGAATAGGATTTCTTGCTCGGTGCTGTGTCATTCGTTATTGTACCTAAATCATCATTTTCTTGTTTTTTTAAATAGTTCTGAACTGCCTCGTTGCATTTCTTATATTTTTTTGAGCTCACCTTTCTTTTTGAGGATATAAAAAGATCAGAAGTAAGTAAAAGAACACGCATGAGATCCTTATTCGTATCTGTTCTTGAACATTTTCTGGTGTGAGATAATCGATGTTTCCTAACCTCTTTATGGCGAGCCTCAAGCGCATCCTCCGACAGCTCTCCAATGGGCAAACAAAATGCATCAATTATCTCACACCCATGAACAAGGACCTTATGTACCGTGTTTGGCATGTTGTACCACTTATAAAGGTGGATATACAAATTTCTTGCTTCTTCCAGCAATGACGCAAACTTTTCCATATCAATAGCGCAACCACTAGCTAACACTCCTAAGATGATCGCAAATTTCTCGATTAATTCCCTGTCAACCCCTGTGATATCTGAAATTGTTTGTGGATTGTGGAAAAAAATTCTGGCCGTATTACCATCATTTGAGGAGCCATATCCGGGTTTTGGTTTGTCAACTATTAGAGACAGCTTGGCTCTGAACTGTGCTTGGATTCGTTTTTTGCTTGCTTCGACTATAGCTTTGTTTTCAGCCCCACGAACCTGCCAAGATTTAATTGGCAGGCGGTATCCAATAGGGAGTAAGCATTCAAAAAAACGAATCCAGCAGTGTAAAGTTGACAAACCAAACCGGTAATTGTCTACGTTAGGAGGACGGTTAATCCCTGCTAGCGTGTTCATGTCCTTGGGTGTGGTTCCGCAAATGATGCACTTCATAGTTGAATTTGTCTCTGATAGAACGTTTCCTACACTGCCGTCCAACATTGTTAACATCATATCAACTTCAATTATATAAGAGTGCCCTTCTTTTGTTTTAATCTCAATAGGAATCAAATTTTCAATTTTTGTTATTATTTCCTTTTCCGTATTCCGCACTAAATCAGCATTTTCCGTTTTAAATAAAAACTTGACCGGCCTACAATATAAAGTAGATGAAGGGCTCTCATTTTTCCACAATACCTTATTCGTTTCCATATCAATCAATCTGAGTGGCGTCATTGCTACAAGAAACAGAAATTCGTCGGTGTTTTCTAAATCAGAAAATTTCTGCTTATATTTGATATGCCCAGAACTGCCATCAAATCACCACATGCACATCACTTTAATCCGGCAATCTCTCTCTTCAAAATTTATTATTTCAAGGATACTTCCAGCTGTTTTCTGTAGAAGTTCTTGCAAATCAACTTCTGCAGAAATTTCAGTAATAATAAATTGTGAATTTGTTTTCTCTAATTCTTTATAACTAGGAAGGCAGTTCTGGGCCTCACCATTAATAACAGACCTAAGTAGCAAATACTTTCTTACGGATATATCCAAATCTACCATAAGGGCTAAAGCTTCAGCTGTACTAAAACTAAAAATTTGTGGCGAGGCCTCACTGTGATTGCTTCCAGAAACGACATTTACAGCAAATTGAAGTTCATTTGCAGATCTGTCTGTGGTTAGTTCGGCTACACGTCTTCGTTTTGTTTTCTTCGATGCCTCTTCAAATGGCACCCGCGGCCCGTGCAACTGAGCGACAAGGAGGTTCTTGTTCCTCATCCGAAGATGTGTTTTCTTCAGAATCATTATTTATTCTATATATAATCTTGTCTACCCAATATAACCTGATTTTGTAAAAGTCGATTCCGAGATTGTCCTACTTTCTGCCATTTATTTGCCATTTTCAACCCAAACAACTGGCTGCATTTCATAATATTACTTTTAAGATGTTTGGAAGGTTCGATAATTTCAACTCTTTCTGATGTGGAATATAGCATGGTTAATTTATGTAATAAAGCGTTACAGGTTATTTTAGCAACAAAGTTTGGTCAAATCAATCGCAAACTATGTACTAAATTCCTATTTAAAATAAGTGCGAGATATTTCCTTATCTTTCTTCAAGAAATAACTTTTTTGCCACAAAAAAACGATCCAATAGCTATTTTTAACAACAAAATAATAAACAAACCATGCGCGTAATGAAGAAAAGCATTTGCTTATTAAGTAAATTCTTTTAGTCATATTTCTTCTGAAAGTAGTACAAACTAATCTGATGTACCTAGTAAAGTTTACTTTAAGCTTTAAATCAATAAATCTTCAAAACTACTAAACTGAAGCTCATATATTTTACATCATTATAAAGGAAATTGAAAGACCTTTAAAATAAGGTATCACTCGACCCCCCCTTCCATTTAAGATTTTAGGGTTGGTGTCACCCCCGCCCAGGGGGCTGCACGTGTTAACTGATTTTTTGCCAAACTTGTGTTCACCTCGAAAAAAAACCGACGGGTCTGAGCGTTTGTCCAAAAAAAAAAATAAGCTGCCAGTAAATGCGTCTGTTTCGTTTCCGATGCGCCACCCTGTATTTCGTCTAACTGGATGTAACCTATTGAGAATTATAAATAAATAAATAGTAAGCGAGCTCCCAGTACTGTTACGCTACAAATGCCGTCGCTTTAAACCCGCGCTAACCACTTGTCGATAGCAAGGCAGCAAACAGCCTATTATGGTCCTCACTACCTAGCACTTATACTCTTTATTGTTGCGGTCAGGTTTGTAGCGAACAAATGAACGTAGCTCAAAGAGCCGATAAACTTGTTCGTCAACATCTCGTTTGAAGCGAGGCAATGACTGAGAAATCATTGCAAGCTCTCAGCCTGTAAACTTTCCAAGTACATCCTGGAAAGGCTTTTGCGGATAAACGGAAAAGTTTACTATGCAATGCGCGCCGATATAAAAGAAAGCGGTAAAAACACGGAAGTATTCTCGAGGAAATCAAGCTAAATGATAGCTGGGAGAAAGGCTGCTTTTCCATAAACAGCGGCGGTAAAAGAGAAAGACGCAGGGGCTTTTATGTTGTGGGGCTGTTCGGCAGCCAACACGTATGTCAAAGCCTTCTCGAAAAACAACGGCTGCTAAAGAGAAAGGGCCGCAGGAAAATACCATAATTACAAACTCACTCACTGGCGCATGGGGATTACATTGTCGAAATATAAGCCAGGAAAGTTATTCTCAAAAATGCAAAAGCTACGAAGTAGATTCGAGTTTTACGACGCTGTGCATCTTTTATGATGATATGAGCCTTTTTTCTATACTTGTGCAGAAAAGTTGGTACATCATGAATGTGGTATATTCATGATGTACGCGGTCACATAGAGAGGACGCGTACACAAATTGACGCTACACGTTGAGCGCGAATTTATATAACCATCCTTTCTATGCTCGCCCAGAAACAATGGTACGTTTTGAATGTACTACCCTTTCCGGGCTCACACAGAAAAGATGGTATTGTTAACTTCCAGCAGCTCAGATGGAGGCGTGAGGCAAGATTTTAGAATGACATGGCGAGAGACACATTAAAGTTTTACAAATTTCATGACACAAAGCATTTCTATTACAATTAAAATAACAAACTAACAACTACATGTATTAAAAAAGGGAATTTTTGGCGATAAAGAATAAAGTGACTTATCTTTGCAACTTTCGTGTTTGTTGGAAGGCATAGGCTGGGGTAGTCTAGGCTGTTAGATCTCAAACAAAAAGCACGGCTGAGTTTTCTAAAGATGAGACAAAAAATCTTCAGTCTAGGATGTGCGACAAAGGCAAGCGATGGTCAATTGCCACGCAATGTTTCCTTTATGCTGAAACAGCCGCGCAGGCAGAAGCCTACGAGCCCCTTCCCACTTCAGTTGGCCCACTTCAAGATTTGTACCAAAATATGCCTTTATGAACTAAACATGTCAAAACTATTTACTTTTAAAACAATTTATTTTCTCAATAACATTTTAGATGCACTCTAGTCGTAAAAAATACATATTTGAAATAATAAACAATGTGCGAATAAATGCGCGAATATAGCGAAGCAACAATTGAAAGATTACCATTGGGTAACACCACCTTTATTTTTTATTACGGCTGAAATTCTTAGGGGCATAGTGTTAACTAAGTTTTGGCAAAAATTTGGTGTAAAACAATCCCATATTTCTTGAAGCTTTTGTCTCAGTTCTGTGATTGTACGAGCAGGATGTTGTCGTAGAACCTTTTTCATCTCGTGCCACAAACTTTCAATAGGTGACAGATCTGGACTGCTAGAAACCCATTTCAAAAGTGGTACATTATTTTCTTCCATCCATTTTATAGCCTTTTTTGAGGTATGGCACGCTGCAGCATCTTGCTGAAATACGAAATCTTGGCCGGATGTCAAACATTCTTCCATCACTGGTAAAAGCCATTCTTCTAAAATTGCCAAATATTTGTTTGTATCCACATTTCCATCAATAAAATGAAGTTTTCCTACTCCTTTTGATGACATACTGCCCCAGACCATAATGGATGCTGGAAATTTCACTTTTCTCTTCAGACAGTCAACATGGATTGCTTCATTTTTTTGCGAATAGCTCTACTGCGACTGTCACCAACACAAACTTCGAATCGGGCCTCATCACTCCATTGCATTGCACACCATTGTTGAGGTGTTCATTATCTATGTTCTTTAGCCCATCTAAGCCAATTTTTCGTTTGCAGTGGAGTTAATAGTGGCTTTTCTTTGGCCTATAAACAAGTTGTGCAACTTTAGGGTTTTTACTTCACTTTTTTTATAAGAAAACTTAACTTGCAAGTACTAAATCCCAGTTTGTGGGCCTCTCTATGAGTTGTGGACTTCGAACTTCTCCTTCCAATAGCGTCACTCCACAGAGCACTTAATTGTAAATAATTGGCACGCCTGTTTTCCACGAGTATCCTTCTTAATGCTCTTCGGTTGGCATTTTTGATATTACTTTTTTTCACATTAATATTAACTGAACCAGCTACGTTATATCTTCTAACAATATTTCTCACACTGTACCATGATAAGTCTAACAAAGTTGCAATTTCTGAGTGTGATTTCCCAGAATAAAAAAATTTAATTATCAGTAACCGAATTTTCTCACCAATAACCTTTCCTCTACCCATTTTGAAAACCTTAACTACCCAAAACTATTTTAAACTTATTCTGATAGCTGTATTTAATAAAAACAATTGTCATTGCGTTTACTTTTCACAGCCACCTTTGCGTTATAGACTTATTTTGCATTGAAATGAAAATAGGTTGATATGCATGTGTTATTTTTATGCTGCAAATTTGATTAGGGAGTAATAAAGTTGGTGTTTTCTTCTATATATTATCAAAATATTCAGTGTTAATATTTTAAACCTGTAACACTCTGCTACATTTTTATTATTTGTGTTTCATAAGAAAAAAACTAAGATTTCAATAGTTGGGCCAACTGAAGTGGGCTCGTAAATGGAAGAACACCGCGGCTGATTTAAGAGGATCCCAACAAAATTTTGTTAATCCGATTTTTGAACTGCCTGAGGTTAGTGGAACTGTTCAAAGTCTCCTCTCGTAGTTTGTTCCACATTCTTGGCCAGTTCTGGATGTACGAAGTTCGACACGATTAGAATGGTAGGAGAAGAGAGCTAGATCGCCGACATCCCGCGTGTGCGACAGGGCTCCGAGACTGTCTGTTAGAGAAGAGTCACCGATCAGTCGGACAGCATCGAGCATGGATAATCTCGGTGCGGCAGCACATCAAACTCGTGAGCAATACTCGAGACTAGGTCTTATCTGAGCCTTTTATAGAGTGAGAGGGTCGTACAGTGAAAAGTACATCTCAGCCCTAAGTAAATAGCCAAGTTAATGCCAAAAAATTCAAAAGCTAGGGCCATAGGTAAAGTTCAACATAAAGCTTCAGTTAAGCATATCCAAGATGCAAACCCAAGCCTACTGGTACTTCAATGCTAAGATCTAAGGCCTTAGTGAAAACCAAAATCGTCTAATCTGGAAAATAATTGGATGCGTTATAGACGTGTTTTATGACCTAAGCATTTTCAAGTCTCGCTCTGTTAAAAAGAAAACTATTATTTTTTAGGTTACAATAATAATAGTGCATTAGCGATATCAAACAAAGAGATTTAGACATGCCTTTGACAAAAAAATCATAAGAAGCAAGGATTACGTGTTATCGGTATTATGGTTCTGATGACAAATAATTCGAACAGCAGCAGATCAAGGTTGTCAAGGTCAGGTGGGATGAGTATAGATTTGCATAGAGATTAACAGAATATTTGCATCTTATATCATGCGCGGTAGGAACATTGTAATGATTAGTCTAATCCTGAGTTCGTTTATGTCTGACATAGATCCAAGATAACTTTAGGTATCCTTGATGTTCTTATGCGAGTCGGTGCTTGGAGCACCAATCACAAAAGAAGATCCAGTATCGCAACATTTGTGCAATAGAACGTAAATGGTATCGCAATACGAGCTTTGGGACTCAAAGACTCCATTTTCCCCGACTTGACATAGTTGGCGCTTATACAATTAAATAAACCGTATAGGGGCTTCTGCAGAGCTTACTGCACTTAAGCTGCTTTCGAGGTTAAATACAATACACCAGCTATTCCCATTGTCACAATTCACACACCTTAGTGGTACATGACATTGCAGAATTTTAAGAAAACTATTGTATGTTTTGGAATTAAAACCATATCCATTACTAGCGAGAAGGATACGGACTTACGAGATAGCTATAAGTAACCAAATATGCCCGAAAATTGC